GATGAGTAAATGAGCATTGGAGCGTTCAAGATTATCAATATGCATGAATGGGGCGACCAAATTGTAGTTAAGTTCAATTGGACACCAAAGCTGGGATCCATGAGGGGTTGCTGTGATATGGGTTTTGTGTGATTAAGGGGAATCGAGGTTGGTAATATTGGGGTGAATGTGCGTCTTCTAAATGAAGCGCTTATCCACTCACTTAAGCTGAATTTTAAGAGCATAGCTAAACTCAATTGCGCAGAACTTATATCTGCTCCTAAATATCCTGCAAATCACTTGCGACTATGCATTTGCGAGGCACCGAGTGTACTTGTGCAACACTTCATAACTAAGGATTGCTTGGCACAAAAAAAAAAGTGGACCTTGAGAAGGTCTGATGGTTACGTAGATGCGTGGCATTGTATCATCTCATCTATGCGCAATAAATTGTATCACACCTGGCCATTATCCCACCAGTAGTTGTCTCCAGCACTTACCCAACACATTTGGTAGCAGCAAATTTGAGAACCACAGAAACATGCAAAAAGCATTTCAACTTTTACCTAGGCAGCACGGTGAGTCGGCAAAAGGTAAACTGCTTACCAAAAACATATACATACCTATATTCGACTACACATCGCACTCTGTGCCATTTACATCGAAAACTTTTGCGTGTCGAATCTTTCCGACATCAAAACTTTTTCAAGTCTTACGATGATGTAGGCGATGCGGATGCCAATGGAAATTATTAAAGAGCCCAGCCAAAAACGACTCAAATTGGTAGGTGGAATCTGAATCCCAATTCCTGCCTATTTCCCCAGAATGTTTTTTATTTATTCATCGCCATCGACCTGACAAGCCAAATCCGATTATGGGATTAGTTGAATTGGCACCAAAAGATGCGAAATATAAATGATTTGCAATTTATTTTTTGTTGTGGCAATTAAAAGCATTAAATGTGTAATTAGAGCACAGCGTTTGCATTTTACAATCTCTAATTGCGAGCAGGCATAGAAAGGAGAGACAATAAAATATCTAAGCTTCAACAGATTTTTCACAATAGTTCAGTTAACAATTAAAATTATCGATTAAATGCAATTCAAATTTCTGTTTTCTATTGCTAATAACAATGTGTAGGGTCTAATACTCACAAAGAATAATAAAATTTTTGTTTTAATAAGTGTGTCTAGAAAATGAACTACAGACACTATTAAAAATGGTCTAATTTTAGTAATAAATGCCTTAAATTTGTGCTTTTCATACAACATTTGGGAAAATATGACCTAAAACTAAGTTTAAAACCATAATGGCCTTGGGTGTCGTATTAGGTCATGTTTTCCTAAATTTTGTATGGAAGACTCGCGAGATTTAAAAGAAAAGAAACAGTTAACATCCGAAACAAAATACTAATACTTATTTAGTTAAGTAAGATAAGATAAGATAAAATTAATGCTTTTAAAATCGGTAAAGAATCGCTAAAAGAAATAATATGATAAAGTTGATTATAGTCATAACATAATACTCATAAAGGTTCAGGCATATTATAGTTTGATCTTCGGGACTCTCAACATCCCCGCGAATAAGTTTACAAATACGTTTATCAAGCATCGTTTTACGGTTGGATAAAGTAGTTTGATTTATCAGGAGAAGTCTTCTAGAGTAAGATGGAAAAATTATGTTTGGTTCTCAGTTAAGGCCCCGTGAGGCAAATTTTGCACAGGCTCTGTCCGGTCTATATGTACACCACATTGGAGACTTCAAAATAATGAAGAGTATTGCAGGACTGGACAGACTAATGAAAGGAAAAAAGTCTTTTGACCACCTTTTTATAAAGCAGAGCACTCTCCTGGCTTTATAAGTCAAAGAATATGAATTAATACGGTTAGAAAACTTAAGTTTGATTAGTGTACACTTGGCATATAAGTTAAATAACCAATGTGATAAAACTGTTGGTGTATAAGATTTAAATTTTATATTTTTCCAATGAACAATCATATTTTCCAGGATTTTCTGTGGAGCAAAAGACCGAATAATCCGATAAACAGACGACACCACCCAGCTCATATTGAACTGTTTTTGTTTTTAGCCAATTTTACACTCATACGTATCCATAAAAGCAGGTGTTTTGAATGGCTTTTATTTGAGATATACTACGTTGTTTAGCTACCAATCTCCATCCACCAAAGTCGGGCTCAGCTTCAACTTTGGCTTAAGTCAGCTGAGTGTTGGTCAAGTGCGAGCAATTAAGCGCATTGTACGGCATTTCGAATGGATTTGGTTTCCAAAGTCCAAAATTCGACACAATGCCGTGTTCGAACGAGTAGTGTAGACCCCATGCATTCCCTACTTCGAGGCTCGAAAATTTCCACCTCGTGAGCATCCGAAGTGGGAGAAGGTTTACGGTCGAATGCCGTACTCGTAAAAGAAAGCCGCACTGGGGAGCCCGGCAGGAAGTGTTGTAATTCGCACTTTACCAGACTCACCAATGCCACACACACACAAAAATGTGGCTATCATGTCGTATACTTGATTTTGAGGGAGGAGTGGTAGAGTGCTGAGCTTGGCTTGGTTTTAATTGTGGCTTGTGCTGCTGCTGCTGGCCACAGAGCTGAAAAATATATGCAGGATACGAAACGGTTTATGTGCCATTATAGAGCAGATATCCCACACCCCAACCGTTTGTGTGTGGGCATTGGGTTTTATGAGCCTAGACGAGCTCTCGAATGCTAGTTATGTAATCTGCCCAAAATATTCGTCTGCAATTAAAAACATTTTCAAGTCGTTTATTCTCTGGGAAGGGGGAGGGGGAGGGGGAGTTGAACATGCGGAGGGGGTCCTCGACAGAAGGCTCGTAAAACCTGCTTTTTGGCAATGTCTAACCAATTTTGTGGATTTGGGCTTATGCATTTATTGGAATTTTTATGACCCACTTTTATAGCCTCTGCAGGAATGGGAACGAGAGGCGATGGGGTGAATTGGTTTATGAATATCAAAAACAATTTAAGGCGAAAATAAGTATGCTTAACTCTGAGATTAGTTCTGTATGTGGAATTCTAATTAATTGTAGTAAGACTCAAAGGGATTTCGCATCCCGCCGCAGAATTTCTCCCCAGGCAAGCAGTTTTTAAGTGACCCAAGTTATATGGAATCTCATCCCAAAAATGATTCCCCAGCAAATTTAAGCTTTCCTATGTAAACTAATCGAATTCGGCACAAGGCCGACGTGAAATCCTTCTGTCCGGCAGGCCAATTCCTGAAACCTCGTCAATAGCAACAGTTTCAAATTAATTAATAACATTTTCGTTTCAAGTGGGACCAGCAAACAAACAAACAAACAAGAAACTTAAAATAAAGGCCGAAACCCGCTCAAGCCTCCCGGTCGAGAAAAGACTTTTGTCGGAACGGAATGTTGATCAAGAAGTTGCGTGTGCCAATACACGTGTGTTGTCCAAGCCACCCCACCACCTCCTGTTCTCCCCGAAAACCCCTCTAACACTCAACCAGCTCACAAACTGTTTGGAAGCCAAGCCAAACAACAAATACTTCAATAAACGAAATTAAATATTTGTGCATGGAATGAAACATTTTCCTCAGGATGCCGGACGGACACGACGGAGGGAAATCGAAAAGAATTGAACACTTTATGCCTCGCATTGGCAACAAATTAAATAATTGCAGCAAAAAGTTTGCCATCTGCAAATATTTCAGCAAACAAACCACTGGTTTTCCCTCGGAGCTTTTATGGTATTGTTCGAATTGCTGAGCGAACGTTGGCTTTTCTTTAATTTACTAAGGATTTTCGATTCGTCATTACTTAGCTCCAGCGCCCTGCTCTCGGCCGACATTTGTCAAATATTTTGTTTACCAAATTGTTTAACTTTTGACCCGAACCCCCCCGCCTTCCCTTATCGGTTCCGCGGTAATTGCACGTTAATTGCGCAATTGTAACCAACTCGGGATGGTTTTCCCGGCTTGGGTGTGGCCCACTCCCGTTTTTGACGGAATTGTGCCTCAGGCCAGGAGCCAACACCTTTTTGATGTCTCTCCGCGGGCAAAAGACGGCGTCTCGGCGCTGAATCAAACTAATTAGGCGCAAACTTAATTAATATTTGATGAATTATTTGACCTTTTGTCTGTCTGATTACCAAGACGGCACCCGAAGAGCACTTGCGAACCCAAAACAGGGCACAACTCAGCCCGTAAGTGGCCCTCGTCGTTTGCCTGACAACAGACAACAGACAACAGACAACAGACAGCAAAATAAAGATAACTTTTAGGATTTTCCGAAATGGAGCTTCATTTGGCTGGGAGGAAGAGCATTTGATAAACTTGTCGCTAGGCAGGTGCCACCACAAAAAGGTCTGACATTGTGCCCACTGATGGTGGGGGCGTGGCCGGGGGGCGTGCAGAGCGATTCAAATCATAAAATGCTAAGGTGAGACGAGGCGCAAAAGTTTTTCTAATGTTTATTGGCGAAACTTTTTCATTTTTTACAACTTGTGCAAAAGTTTACGCGTTGCTTCTCCGCCTCCCTCGGTTGCATTCTGCCTTTTCTGTTGTTGCCTAGGCCCGACTCTGGTCATTTTAAAGTTTAAATTATACCAAGCCCAGGGAGTCCAGGTCTGAGTGGTCTAGAATCCAACGATTGTCAGCACATTAGGCCTACCATGTTGGCGGCGGGGAGTGCGGGAGGGAAAGCTTACTTTGAATTAAACTTTTATCGCATCAATTCCGAGAGTTTTCCAGCGTTACCCTGGCAAAGTTTCATTGTTGGAGAATTTCCAGATATTAATTCTTTTATTTAAATTAGCCCTAGTCCCCGAGATAATGCAAATAAGGGCGATTGTACTCACCCGAGTGCAGATAGGTGCCACTTACCTGTAATGAAAAGAATACAAAATGGAAATTACTTCTAAATTCATGGCCATAGCAACGCTTGTCACAGAAAATAGGGCACTCGGCATTTGGTCGCTAGTAAGATCAAAAGTATTATTGTTATACATTATATTGCTAGTCTCCCTTTTTCAGTCCAGTTGCCTTTTTGCTCCCGTCAGAATCAGAACAAGTTGATATATATTTTTTAAAGCGGCATCATGATTCAATGGCCAGCTCTTTACTTGTTCTTCTTCAACGGCCTGATGGTCTACTTAGCCAAGGAAGTAAAACGCATTATCAAGGGTAAGCTCTACGTTATGATCGGTTCCACATGGCTAAAGCATTTCTTGTAGTCAAGCCAACTGATGTGAGGGCTTGGCAACGGATTCCCCTCATCAGCAAGTTCTTCCCTCGTCAGCCAGTGGACACAAATAGTGCATTTTTGGATCATAAGGAGTTCAGCGACTTCCTGTGGAACATGAACCTGTATGTGAACTGCTTGCTGCTTCTGCCAGCACTTTGCCAGGTAAACGCAGATCATTCCTTGGTGTCCGTGTCCCAATTTAGTTATTCCCCCACCAGCTCCGTTACTTCCGCCCGCTTGTGGCCTCAGTTCTGGTGTGGAACTTCTACGTTTACCAACGCCTGTTCGGTTTCCTCCTGAGGCTGACTTGGCACCTATGGTGGAGCGATCTCTGCTGGGCCTACTACGGAAATCTGGTCGTTCTCGGACTTCTACTGAGCACACTACACTTGGCTCTGATCGTCGCCACAACGAAGCTGCAGACGGAGGGCATCGAAGAGCCACTTCCTTCTCGCTTGGGGCCACATCCCACGATTGACGATGGCCCAGAACACTAAGTTCGGTGAAACTGGAAGTAAACTGAAGGCCACCTTTAACTGGGTCGCCATCAGTTAGGGGCTTAACCTTGCCGCATCTACAAATACTGGGTCGTCGGTTCAACTAATAAATATGCCAGAAAACGGCAGGCACACAGATACCCGGCACGCACACCCGGACACTCGCACACCCGGACATTCGCACACTCGCACACCAGGACATGTACAAATGAATCGCAGCTGAGGGCCGGCCGAGCATCGGGAAATAAAACCATTAAATATTTGCGGTTAAACGCACCAAAAACAAACCGCAAAAGTAAATCATATCCAGAGCAGACATTGGACATGGCCAAGCATCCAAGGCAAGGAATTTCACTTGCGTCGCTCGTCCGCCCGGCACTCGTAAGCAAAAATATTAGATTAGAAATTAGGAAGCCATGGACATGCCTCTGGATTGGCGTGGGATTGGGCGGGCAGCAGACCAGAACGCCATTTACTGGGGGGGATGGGATGCCCGGGCAGGATACTGGTTACCAACGGCCTGCCAAAAATTCCAAATGGTCCATGGCCGAGGAGAATAAATCATTGAAACTGACATTTCACCATTTCACTGGATTTGTATATATGCTAAAGGTTCGGCTATTTCGTGGGGTGGAAAATGCTCTGGTGAGCGAGGGAATTTGCCTAAGATATCCGTCGATTTTCCCAAGAAACCATCGGAACGCACGTCCTTACGACGAAGAGTGCGCTCTATTAGTCCCCTGAACTACTTGTAGTTCCCCAATGATTGCAGCTGACCAGGGCTTTTGTCCCACTGGCTGCAAAGCTAACTCACATAAATCATTTTGCAATTGAATGGTTGTAACGCATAGTGATGTCGTCACACTAAAGTCGAAAGCTCCCTATTGCCCTTATAGTTAAACTAAGTAAAGATCTTCAGCTTATGGCGAAGGACTTGGCTAATAAGTGATTAGCCATTTAAATAGGGAAACTTTAGAATATTGTATTGTGTAACCTTAAAAATTGATAATACCGGAATTGCGTTCTTGCTTTAACTACGGATCGAAAGACTAATTACTTTACAATTAAATACTTTGTTCAACAAATTAACAAACATTCCAAACGAGAAGTTCGTAATTTTGTTTGTTAGAATAAATTTTGAAATCAGTTTTACTAACCTTAACAGCTCGAATTGGAACCCATTTGTGTTAGATAGGGTTCAGATGGGTTTTTTCACTCGAGAGGGTTTTTAGGTAGGTTTTTTGTTTTAAGGATAAAATTGTCAGATTTTTAAAATTCAAACATAAATTTATCTCTTATTATGATAAAAAAACAAGAACCAGAACAAGATAGTCGTTGTGTTTTTTTTTCATATAAGGATAAAAAACTAAAACTAAAGATATAAATCAAAACACCTTAACTTGGAAACTTAAAATATTTTGCTACTGAAAAAAAATTCTGTTTAGAGCTTTGAGTGTTAACACAGTTATGCTTTAAAGACATTAGAAATAGTAATTGAGATGGAATTTAAGACTGTATGTTACTTTTACTCAGAAGCACCCAATGATTATGGAAAATTACAAGTGGTTCGTGGACTTAATTGGCTGTTTACCTGTGTAATGTTGAACTAACGAACCAGGTTTTTCAATGTGCTATATCGGGTTTATGATTGAGCATTAGTATCGGACTTAAAACTAGTTTGGAGTCTTATAATAATGCTACATTTTTGTCATTTGGCTCAAGAGCGTTTTCAGAATGGAATAAAATATTTGAACTATTGTTTAATTTTGAATTCCTTAAAAATATACTTTATACAAAAAAACTGTCACTAAGCCATTTTTGGTACTAAAAAAAGGAGTATCCAAACACCTTTTGAGAGATTTAAATATTATTTTTTTCTACTCCCTTGCAAACACTTTACAGTCAATTTTACTCGCACAAGTTGGCAGTGCTGGATCGTAAATTTGAAGTTTCTGTTTGTTGCTCTGGAAATCTGATTCATCCCCAAAATGTCTGCCCTGAAGTTCATGAGGTGTTCCTCCTGCCCACGACTGCGTGCCTCCATCGGAATCGGGTCGGTCCGCCATGCGACCTCCAAGCCGCACTACGACTACGACCTGGTGGTGCTCGGCGGCGGCTCGGCGGGATTGGCCTGCGCCAAGGAGGCTGCCGACTGCGGCGCCCGCGTGCTCTGCTTCGACTTCGTGAAGCCCACTCCGGCGGGCACCAGATGGGGCATCGGCGGCACCTGCGTAAACGTGGGCTGCATCCCCAAGAAGCTGATGCACCAGGCCTCGCTGCTGGGCGAGGCAATCCATGAGGCGGTGGCTTACGGCTGGAACGTGAACGACCAGAACCTGCGGCCCGACTGGCGCAAACTGGTGCGCTCCGTGCAGAACCACATCAAGTCGGTCAACTGGGTGACGCGCGTGGATCTGCGCGACAAGAAGGTGGAGTACGTGAACTCGCTGGGCGCCTTCCTCGATCCCCACACCATCGAGTATGCAACGAGGTCGGGCTGCGAGCGCCGGCAGGTGACCGCCGATCATGTGGTGGTGGCCGTGGGCGGACGTCCGCGCTACCCGGACATCCCCGGTGCCGTGGAGCTGGGCATCACCAGCGACGACATCTTTAGCTACGAGCGCGAGCCGGGCCGCACCCTGGTCGTGGGCGCCGGCTACGTGGGCCTCGAGTGCGCCTGCTTCCTGAAGGGCCTCGGCTACGAGCCCACCGTCATGGTGCGCTCCATCGTGCTGCGCGGCTTCGACCGCCAGATGTCCGAGCTGCTGGCCGCCATGATGGTCGAGCGCGGTGTGCCCTTCCTGGGCACCACCATTCCGCGCTCGGTGGAGCGGCAGGCGGACGGACGGCTGCTGGTGCGGTACCACAACACCGCCACTGGGGCGGACGGCAGCGACGTCTTCGACACCGTGCTGTGGGCCATCGGCCGACGGGGGCTCGTCGAGGACCTCAACCTGCCGGCCGCCGGCGTGAGGACCCACGGCGACAAGATCGTGGTGGATGCGGCGGAGGCCACCAGCGTGCCGCACATCTTCGCCGTGGGCGACATCGTCTACGGGCGGCCAGAGCTCACTCCAGTGGCCATCCTGGCGGGACGCCTGTTGGCCCGCCGTCTGTTTGCCGGAGCCACGCAGCTGATGGACTACGCCGACGTGGCCACCACCGTTTTCACGCCCCTCGAGTACAGCTGCGTGGGCATGTCCGAGGAGACGGCCATCGAGCTGCGCGGGGCCGACAACATCGAGGTGCTCCACGGCTACTACAAGCCCACCGAGTTCTTCATCCCGCAGAAGAGCGTGCGACACTGCTACCTGAAGGCCGTGGCCGAGATATCCGGCGACCAGAAGATCCTGGGCCTGCACTACATCGGCCCAGTGGCCGGCGAAGTCATCCAGGGCTTCGCCGCCGCCCTCAAGTCGGGGCTCACCGTGAAGACTCTGCTGAGCACCGTGGGCATCCACCCAACCACCGCCGAGGAGTTTACGCGGCTCTCGATCACCAAGCGGTCAGGTCGCGATCCCACTCCGGCTTCCTGTTGCAGTTAGAGCGGATTTAATCAAGTTTTTGTATAATTCAAGTTCACCGTCTACCACACAATTAAAACCTTGGCCAAAAAATAATAAAATTATTAACCATTGACATCGGTGTTGCCGATTTGAGGGATTTCAGGACAGATTTGAACGACTTTAAAATTGGAGTAAGAATATTAGTATTTATTATCCTAAATAGGCCTTTTTACTAAACCATTATGAATTATCCATTTTGTCTGGTTTATTTAGTGAAAATGTTTGTTCCTTTAGGTGAATTTTTTGCGAAGCCTTTATGTGATAGGTTTTTTACTCAGAAGCAGCCAATTATAATGAAATGGTACAATCGGTTTTTTTTGTTTTTGTGATATTCTAATACTTTAAATTTAATAAAATTTAAATCCGAATAATTAGCGGGAAAGCAAAATTTTTAAATTATTGTTTGCAAAGAGACTATTAAATTCAATATTTAATAATAAAATATCTTAATTATTAATTTAAATACAAAAAGAGTTTTTTAATAAAATTTATATTGATTTCACTAAAAACTTAAGACTGTAACTAAAAACCATTTTAAAATCTGATATATTGCCTATGATAATATGCAAATAGTAAACTTAAGTGTTTTCAACCGTTTTTGGAAAAAGAAAAACTTGATTTCTGTGACGGACTGCTCGTTTAGATGTGCGGCACACGTTCTGCTGATTTGACACTTCGATATAAATGACACAGACGCGCTTGGAAACTCTGGGAAACCCTCAAAGCGATTGCCAGTTTGACATATGAAGTTTTAATTTATGAAGTTCTTGGTGAAAAACACTTTGTTCCCCTGGAGGTGACCTGCGTTTCCGTTTCCGCTTCCGAGTCCTGCCGTATCGGTGGCCCGAATCTGGCGTGTGGCGCCAGAAACTGGGCCACACACACAAACACACACACACACAATGGCAGCAACAAACAACGAGGGATAAAAAATTTTGATTAATGTTTAGTTCCGATTTGCATAAATCTTACTTTAGCATTTTGGGCTGGCTCTCTCCTGCTCTTTTCACAGCCTCTCTTTTTCGGGCGGCTTTGTTATAAATTATTTTTTTATTGCAGCCCCCTGAGTTCCGTATGCTCCCCGGTTAAATTGTTTGGCTCAGCGTTATTTATTCGTTTGTTTGTGCCGGTCATCAGAAGTGGCCGTGTCCAGGTGGCCCAAAAACCCGGAGCCCGGAGTCCGGAACCAGGTCAAGGCAGTGCATCTTCGCCGGAGTCCTCGGACGCGCAGTAACTTTTCGATTAGCTTTGCCAACTCATTTAACAAATGGTCTGGCTGACAGTAAGGAATATAACAACTTGCCCCAGCAATGGCAACATCGAGCAAGGAGCTGCTAGTTTTCATTGCAACACCTTAGAATCATAAATTGCGACCAGCGCCAGAAGGCGGTGGGCGGAAAAGTTTTGCTCGTCCCGAAGTTTGGCTGTAAGTTAAAGCACCCGCGGGTAATTCGATAAAGCGTAAAATTTTGCACTTAAACTATTTTCATCTGCAGCTGCTTGGAGTTGGATTCGGCAATTGCATTGTTGCTCTTTTTATTGTTCTCTGGTTTTTCGGTCGTTGGCAGCTTGACCTGCTCGGGCGGAAGGGCGGGCAGGTCTTGAATTACAATGCTGGGAAAGTGCGGAAAAGTTTCCTCTGATTGCGTGTCCAAGTGGTTGCTCCCTTCTATTTTTATTTCTATTTATATTTATATTTCTATTTCTATTTCTGATTCTCATCTCCTGATTGAGTGCTCTCGAGTGCGAAGCGGCACAGGAATTGTTCTAGCATTGCAGTTGAGACGTTGGCAAGTTAATCGGCAAGCGCCGCGCACACACAAGTCCGCACAAATTGTTTGCAAAATTGTGCAATCAGCGCAAGAACAAAGGCCCGCTCGCTGCCGCCTCAATAGGCCAAAGTAAATTAAAAATCTCATTTAATTTAATTAATCCCCGGCGAGGGTCCTTGCGACCCCTCCTTCCCGACTTCCCCGCTGGGAGGGGAAGTCGGCCTGTTGTCGCTCTCATCAACGCATTACAAACAATTCCACTTTGGGCACGCAGCCACAGCAGCTTGTGGTTACATGGGGCGTGGCACTCATACACCTTCGACAGGCAGGCAGAAGCTTAAGTCTTGTTTAGCAATTTAGAATTTTTAAATCCCATTAAGTTCTGCAATCACAGTTTGATTTGTTTGCCGAGCTTGGGTGGATACGGATACGGACACGGACACGGATGCCGGGACAGGTGGAGGGGAAATCGGAGAATCCGGAGCCGGACACGTTTCACGTTCACGGACTGGCCGAGTCAAAGGGCTTTCAATGATTCAATAGTTTAATTTCGAATTTCCATGCAAACAAACAAATATCCATTAGGGACGGAGACCGACGCAGGACGAGACCATCGGCAAGCAGGGTGGCTTTCTATTTAGTTTAGTTATTAAATGTATCCATTTCCATTTACCAAATTACGCCGCAATTGTTGTTCGGACTGTCTGTCTGAATGTCTTGTTTGCCGATGCCCATTGTTGAGCTTGTTTGAGTTGCCTTCCGCATCTGCTCGGATCGAACTTCATCTGCATCTGCGGCTTCATCTGCCTCAGTATCTGTATCTGGATCTGGATCTGGATCTGCATCTGTATCTGCATCTGTATCTGTATCTGCATCTGCTTCTGTTTCTGCCCAGCATGCTGGATGTGTAATTACGTAAAAGTTGATAATGTGTTGATTATTTGAGGTATTTATGTAATTTTCGAGTTCCTTCTGCGCCCTCACTTTGCATGTTTAATTTCAATTATTTAATTACATTTGCAGCTTTAACTTCGGCATGTGTCTATTGAGTTTTGCGGTCAGGACTCGTTCGTCATCTCACAACCGAAGAAAAAAACACGCACAATTCAATGGAACGCTGGCATTTCTGTCTGTGTTGATTGCATTACAAAAGGCCTCTTTGTCTGAGCATCTCACTGCTTGGCTGGCGGACACTTGACGATAATTTTATATCAAATCCTCATCCAATTACTGGAGTAATTCAAATTAAAATTGATTATCGATTGCGATGGACGTTAATTGATTAGTTTCAGCCATTTAGGGATAGCTTCCTTTCATCCTGTCCTTAGCCCAGCGCTTTCCATGATGCACTGAAACCACTTGTGCTACCAGCTTTTCATCCAAACATGTTTTTCTCAGCCGTCGAGCTTTTTCAGGAGTACTTAAATATGTGTGTCGTAATTTAATTTCAAAAAAGCAATTGTACTGACCCTGCCGTTCCGCGACCCTCTGCAAACTTTGCTCGCACTCACAGAATGACAAAATCATGTGACCAAGAGAAATGTAGCAAGGACTTAACTAAAGGCGGGGCTTTGTGGCAGCGGTGGCCGCGTGACGATCAAGCCAGTTTTCACTCAAAGTTCTTTGCAAGAAGAACAGTTAAAGTTTGTTTAATTTAAAATAAACTTAGCAAGTTTATATATCCTTGCACTTTTAAGAAACTAGCCCCTATTTATATAATTGTTTATTTAAAAACAATAAAGTTTTAACGATTTTTGTTTGTTTTCATATAAACAGACCTATTCGCTGTAGGTCAAATAGCACTCCCACACTCATAAAAATATTTTTTATAAATATAAAAAGCAAAATTTGTCTACAGTTTTTAAATATTTCTAGGGTAAAAAAAGTATTTTCTTAATTTTAAAAATACATTTTTTGAAATGGTATCCTAAAATACAGGAATCCATTCCTTTATTTTTAAAATGTGTTTTCTCTAATCTGACTCTCCAATTTTGTATAAAAAAAAGCTATTCTTATACAAGCGTTGTGCATATTCAAATCAATGATGGGCCGTATTTCATATCCTTTCCACACCTTGCTACAGGGAGCATAAAAGGGTTAAGGAAGGTATGATGGGTATTAATTTAAAAATCATTTTAAGGCAATTCTTGACATAGAAAATACTTTTCGTTTTTAGAAAAATTTCCCTTCGCATTTTAAGAATCTGTTTTCTGAAATACGGAAATTATCGCTCATAAATACGAATCTAAGGGCGATTTTCCCTGATTTATTTTCTGATTGCAATTTTGTGCGAAAGTCCGAAATTCAATGTGAGAAATACCTAAAAACAAAGAAAAGAGGCTTTCAGTTTCGATTAACATACGGAGGAAAAATCTATTTGATTGATTTTTGGTACATCAATCATTAGGGTTTTCTACCATCCAGTAGTTCCCTAGTCTCATACATAAAAATAATTGAGTTTTACCCGAAGATTACGCCCAGTGTACACAGATACACTAGGAAATGTTTGTTAAAATATATGAAAGAATGATTTTCTTTACAATATACTATGTGTTAATAGTCAGATTTCTATAAAGTAAAGGGATATAGTGTTTTCGTTAACGAATTTGCCACACTTTTAAATAGTTTTAAATTGCCAAAAACTATCTTTGAAGAGATCTGGGTAGTGGAGAGCTCAGCTGGTAGCTCTGGTATATGGCGTCTACCATGTGCAAGTCCTGCATCACGATCCCATCTCTGTGCCGGCCCCGAGTATTTGTGTTTTTTTTAATGCCACCACCAAGGGCCGCCGCTGCCGCTGCCGCCAACAGACGGGGCAAACAAGGACGACAAGGGCGACAAGGGGACAAAAAAGAGGGACGGGATACTGCGGAAGGAGACAGGAGACAGATGGGGAAGTATTTTCATTGTCTTGTTTGCCAACGTCGAGAGTCGCATATTTGACATTGGACTTGTGTGCGCTGTGATAGCGTGCCAGCCAAAACATCACAAATGGCTGGCAACTCGGCAAGCCGGCCGGCAGACACAAACACTCGGCTGCAGTTGTGACACATAATTGCGAGTGTTTACTGTGTGTGTGTGTGTGTGTCTGTGAGTGCGTTGATTTTCTTTCGGTTTTCTGCGGTTTTTGTGAGGAGCCAACGCGGCGTATGTGCAACGTGTGGTAAATAAAAGGGAAACACTCACACAGAGGCAGAGACCCATCATTTATGCACAAACGTTGCCAACTTTGCTTACAACAAATGCAGCAAAAGCGCGACTTTCGACTGCCTTTTCACTTGCCTGCTCAGTTTGTTCAGTT